GGACAGAGGCCTCTGGGTGGGGGTATGGGGGACAGAGGCCTCTGGGTGGGGGTATGGGGACAGAGGCCTCTGGGTGGGGGTATGGGGACAGAGGCCTCTGCAACCACCGAGGGAAGCATTGCCGGCCGAGCTCCTGGGGCCTCCTCTCCTGGGGATGTCCTTAGCACAGCTGAGCTCCCGGGCGTGGGCCTCACTGCCCACCATCGTCCCCACACGTCTCTGTGGCCGTGTGCTTCCTGGGGCACCTATGGAAACCTGGCCTTTCCTAGGGGACCATTGGGTACCCCTCGTGTTGGGGTGACCACCTGGCTGGCATTTTAAAAGGTTGAGTTGAGGACACCTCTGAGCGGCCTCCAGTTCGGAGAGCTCCACACTTCGCCACAGCGCCCGTGTCACCACCCCGGCCCCTGACCCTGCCCCTCCCGGCCACAGGCTTGCCAGTCCCTGCCCCGAAGGCACTGCCAACCCATAAGAGACAATAGCGGGTGGGGTACTCGTAGGAGACCCCAATTCCCAGGTGACTCACCAGGAAATGGCCTCGCCTGGGCCCCAGCTGAGGACTGAAGAACAAAGGGAATGGGCTGAAACGCTTCCAGCTGCCCACGCAGGCCACCTGGTCACCTCAGGTTCCCCAGCAGGGCCAGGTCCCCCAGGGGAGAGAAATGGACACCCCTTCCTGCTCAGCCATCAGCATATCCCCAGGCAGGATCCCATCCCCAGACCCGGAGGACGCCTCCACAGGCCAGAAGCAGGCAGAGACGGTCCAAGACAGCAAAAGGCATCTGTCCTGTGATCAGGCCACGTCTCTGCCACCATCGGACCAAAGCAGTCCCCCAGTCACACCTGCCTCCCCCAAGGCAAATAACTGGCCCTCAACCTCCATGTAAGAGGCTTTCCAACCCAGCCGGCATGGCTCAGTGGTTGAGCATCAACCTATGAACCATGAGGTCCCAGTTAGGGCACATGCTGAGTTTTGGGCTCCATCCCCAATAGGGGGCATGTAGGAGGCAGCCAATCCATGATTCTCTCTCCTCATTGATGTTTCTCTCTCTCTCCCTCTCCCTTCCTCTCTGAAATCAATAAAGATATAAATTTTTAAAAATAAGATGCTTCCCAGCGAGTGTCCAAAACACAAGCTCGCAGACAGGACCCCGCTCCAGCCTGGGGTGGATGCCACACGCTGGGTTACCGCCAAAATGCTCCACCGCCCTCCTGGCTCTCCCAGACCCTCCTCAGGGGGCTGCATTCCAGGCTGGTGGGGGCAGAGCAAGCCTTGGGGGCCGGGGTGGGAACCCTGTACTTACAGAGGCCCGTGGGCACTTCGCAGACCCGGGCACCGGCAGGCCTGCGCCTTCCTTGCAGAGAGCGGAGGAGGGGCCTGGCACAGGCACCAGAGGCGGGGGAGAGGCGCGTCTGCTGCCCTCGGAGGAGCCCCAGCTGTGCCAAGGGCCTTCCCAGGAGAGGAGGCCCGAGAGGTTTCTGCTCCACGGAAGGACTGAACAAAGGGGCGCATGGCACTTGGGGAGAACGTTCCAGAAACTTACTGGCTACAGACAGGGATGCTGCTGAAGGAAGCATCCTAAACAGAGTAAATGCAGAAGTTACTGTGCAGAAAGGAACAGGCAGACGCGTACACCGACTCTCCTTCCCTCTCCCTCCACACCGTCCCTGCTCCCCACAAACACCACACGGAGCGACAAGGTCAGCAAAGCAACGACATGAAGAAAATAACCGGGCAACTGAATAAAGCAATGAATGCTCCCACTGCGTTCCTAATAAAAGTTACTGATCAGGGGGGAGGAGGCTGGAAATTCCTGATGGGGAAAAAAAAACCCGGGAGATGACAGCAGCCGGGGCAGGCTGGGGCCGCCTGGCTCTTTGACCCGAGTCCCAGGTGCTGCCCTCTCCTAAGTGACTGCCCATCTCTCTGTCATTTTCGCAAGCCAGGGTGGTCCGATGCAGCCGGACAGCCCCTCGCAGCCGGGGCCACGACTGAAGTGGCTGGCAGCCAGCGCCAGCAGAGGCAGGCTGCACTAGGTAGCCAGGTAAAACGGAGACATGCTCATCGGGGAACTCACTCGTGGTTTATCTGAAAGTCCCATTTATCTGGTGTCCTATATATATTTGTAATCCATTTTATTGATTTTTTATAGAGAGGAAGGGAGAGGGATATTGAATTAGAAACATCGATGAGAGGGAAACATTGATCAGCTGCCTCTTGCACATCCCCCACTGGGGATGTGCCTGCAACCAAGGGACATGCCCTTGACCGGAATGGTACCTGGGACCCTTCAATCTGCAGGCCGATGCTCTATCCACCGAGCCAAACCGGTTAGGGCGTCCTGTCCTATATTTTTATTTGCTGCGTCTGGCCCAGATGAAGGAGCCTTCGCTGCAGCCCTGGATGTCAACTGTTCTGCTGGGGCCACCAAAGGGGCTTGGGTGTGTCTGTTTCTCTGCTAGAAGCCTCCGAGGGGATCACCGGCTCCCCAACTTCCTCCTCTGAAGCAAACTCTTTTCCCTCCTGATCCCCGAGAAACAGACTCTCAAAGGATCCGAGGGCACAGGCCACGGGGCGGACAGAGGATGCCCGGGCAATGTGGGCCTTCCGCCAGCCCTCCTTGCACCCAGTTTCTTAAAGATCTGGTCTTGATCACAGTGAACCCCATTTCCACCCCTTCCTCGCCTCATCTCCCTGCAGATGGTGCAGCTCTCCAAGTTTCCTTCTTGCAAGAACCTGCCCTGTTTTAGGGACCCCAAGAGACACTCCTCCCCTCCTCCCTTCACACACGTGCCTCTTAAGGACCCCGGGCTGAGAGTCTGAATCTACGCATGGAGCTGGATCAGAGAGCGTGGGGAGCTGGAACAGAGGGCGTGGGGTGGCTGGCACAGGCCAAAGCTATTTCAAAAATCAAAGTTAGGACAGAAAATTCTAATTCTCCTTAGCAACGTGGCACCACCAGCACTTGCACGTAGGCGATCTCGGGAGAAGAGGACTAGAAGCAAGCCCACTTTTTTTGACTTATGCCCAACTCTGGGGCGGGGGCCTGGTGACCTGGCTATCCCCAGCTACTGCCCTGGGCTGTGCAGCAGCAGAACTCAACTTGGGCTGGCACACCAGCGGGGTCTGGGCAGCCAGGCCCTGGATGGCCGCCAAGCATAGCAGGTAGATGCAGAGCAAGGCAAGGAGGAGGGCAGATCATCTGACACTTCTTTTCAAAATGTTTTAGTAGGTGGTTTTCAGCTTTTCCCTACCCACCTGTGCACTGAGAAACGAGTGGCAAGAAGACAGGCTGCCTGCCCGCGCCTCCCCATCTGTGTAAAGGACTAGAGCACTACCAGTCAGGATTCTGCTGGAGGCCCAGGGCTTCTGCATTCAGCTCAGGAGGATGAAGGATGGGGGACATTCAGGACCCAAAAAGAGCCTCATTTTGCTGACCTCTGACAGTCCTGAAATGTAGGCATAAAGGCTGTATTTTACTGGTTGAGTAATAGCATAAGTTGCACGCTCAGTAGAAATTTCCTAAGGAAAGCCTCCCGGCTTGCTGGACACAGGGTGCAACCTCCGTCGCCGACTAGGATGAGTCCCATCTGTGGGGGGCCTGCCGTCGCAGCCTGGGGTTTAGTCAGCACCCAGCATGCTCGTCACTTCCTGGGTGGCAGGATGGGAGTTTGGGGTGATACGAACTACCTAGTAAGGGATGCCTCGTGGAGAAATGCCATTGTGGAATTCAGTCTAAAGCAGCAGGACACTGCACATCTGCAGGTAATTGCTAAGTTTAGTATTACGGGTTTGATCAGTTTACTCAAATGGAACAGGCAGGGGTGAGAGTGCAAAGAGCAAACAGTCCTCTGATTAAAAAAAAAAAAAAAAAATCCACAAATGCTGGCCTCCTGTGGGAAGGAGTCCGGAGCAGTGCTCACGTTAAGCCACGCCCGAGAACTTAAATGCTGCATCAGAGGAGTGACGGCAGTGGCTGCGCCCGGCTCCGAAGGCTCGAATTAGAGGGCACGTTCGGAGGGCAGGGCCAGGGCCCGCTCCCAGCCAGGGTGAAGGGCACTCGGGCTCTTTGAATGACAAAGCCAAAGGATTGGCCCAGAAAGTGCTCACTCCAGTTTCCTTTGAAGTGAGGCAGCCACACCGGCTTCATTAAAAAAATAAAAAAATAAAAGGAACATCTTGAAATCAAATCTCCAGGCCTCTGAAAAGGACCAGCTCCAGCCAGTGCCTCCCTGGGTGTCTCTGAGGCGGGCGGGAACCCTGATTCCACGGGGCGAACTGGACTCCTCCCTGGAGGATGAAGGTCTCTCGGGGCCGCGGTCTCGGTTTCTCTGGGTAAAAGGTAAAATCGTGGACCAATGTCGAGGGACAAGATTTAGTTCCCCAAACGGGTGAGCTTCGGATGGTGATGAAGCTATTAATAATAGCCTGCTACAGGATCATGCCTCTGGGCTCACAGCATCACCTTGGGGACCAGAAGCCCTGCACCCTCAGCCTGTCTCTCCGCTTCTCTAGACCAGACTCTCACGGAGGAGCAAGCACGGTCCCATTCCCTCCGCAGTATTGCCCAGGCCCGGGACTGGGGCGGGAGGAGGCCGCTGCTGAGGGGCAACCTCCGCTCAGGGACCACATGCCCAGTGACCATGCCCGATGGGACTGTGAACGTGCCCAGCCAATGGGCTTCACTGACCACCAGAGAAGGGAATAAGGGGCTCAGAGTCCTCCAAGGGGAGCACAAGGCCACCTCCAGTGGGACTGCAAGAGAACAGCCTGCAGTGAGTCCTGGAATCGGAGCGAACTATCTGGAGGGCGGTCTTAGGTCACCTGGACCCCAAGGCCACCTGAGAAGAGAGGGGACCCGGAGTGCCTGATGATCCCTGATCTCAACTCCCCCAAAGGCGAGGCTGCTTTCCCAAAGAAATTGTGAAAAACGAACCATGACCCCATTATATGAAATACTGTATCTATTGTAAATAACAGTAACGGCCAGAGCCTTCACTTCCTTGCTCATGTTGGGTTAATTTTTTATCATTTCAGGTCGACCTGACCCAAATCACAGACACCTATGGCTACAAAAGCCTGCCATTCTCTGGCCCAAGAACTACTGAAGACATCTCTCATACAAATAAAAATTTAAACAAAACTTCAAAGGAAAAAAAAGAAAAGAATGTGAAAAGAAATACAAATCAAAGAAATTTATTGGTGTTGACAAAAAATACATAATACAAAAAACAAAACAAAACACAACGGAAACAAAACCGGAAACCCACCCCGCGGCCCACGTGCCCGAGGTACTGACAGCGTGTCCGGAGCCTGCAGGGCCCGCGCCTAGTTCATGAGGACCTCCATCTGCACCAGCCTGGCGTTGGTGTCCCCGGACGTGCGGTAGGGTATCATCCCAGCAAAGGTAATGAGGGCCCGGGCTTGACTTCGGAGTTGCTGAGAAAGGGAAGACGAGAACGCCGTTACCTTTAAGGCGGGGTGCTGTGCTGGGACCGCCAGCAGGATCTATCATTTTCTACCCGCTGGTGCCAGGGGCAGGTTCCGGGGGAAGAGGGGAGGAGAGACAGTCATGTTCTTCCGCAGGTACAGAGTTAGCACAGCCGTCCCAGGTACAGAGTTAGCACAGCCCATCCCAGGGCCCAGCTCCAAGCTCTCCTAAGCCAAGGCCAGCTGGGTCTGGCAGGCCAGCTGCCTCGCCTGACAGGTGACGGCTGGGACACAGGCCCGGCCTCTCCCCTGGCTGGTGCCTGCTGCTTCCCTGGGGAGCAGACACAATGCAGCCCAGGCCAGCTCTCGTCCTCTCTCCCTCTTCCCTTTCCTTCCTCCCACTCCTTCCTTCCTGACATTAAGTGCTTGGCACACTTGTCTGTCTGTCTGTCTGTCTGTCTGTAGCTGGGGAAGAACAGCCATCCCATTGACGTGTGATTTCTTCCTGGAGGCTCCTGACCCGCTGCTCCCAGGTTTGCCCGGCTACCGGGGGGAACGGGGGAAGGGCAGCTGGGCTCGTGCGGCACGATGGGCGGCACACCAGAAAGGCGGCTCTCCGCCATGGCTCTGGCCCACCCGGGGATCTTACAGAGTCGTGGTCCTCGATGACGCGCTGGGGCCTGGAAGCCGAGGAGGGACTCGTCCCCTTGAGCCGCTTAAACTGTGTGAATAGGATGTTCATGGTGGCGAGAAGTACTTCTGAGAGGTTGTGCCTGATCTGCAGAGAAACACAGGAAGTCAGGAGAGAAACCCAGCCGGGGCCAGCAACGGGAGCGGGCCTCCAGGCAGGCCTGAGCACACGCATGCCTTCAGCTGCCGGGTGGAGAGCGAGTCACCAATAGGTAGCCCACGGCACTGAAATGCCAAGTGTGAGAGCGAAGCCCAGTTGGCGCCGCTCAGAAGGTAGGTCCCTCCTGTGACCTGCTTTATGCCCCGGTTCCTGGGCAGGCAGTGAGCCAAAGCAGGCTGAGCACATCTGACCAGCGTGTGAGCTTGGACTGGCCGGTAGCGTGATCCCCAAGGAAAGTGTGGGTTGGATTGTCAGAGGTGGGACGCTCCTGTCTCAGACTCATCAGACCGTCTCCTCGGACCCTCAGCCCTAGCAGAGCCCTTGGGAGCATCTAGAGAGGCAGACGCTGGTGCACTATGTCACCCAGGACACAAGGAACAATGCATCCAGAGAAGGCAAGAAACAACAAAGACCAAGTGGCTTGGGAGGAGGGGGAGAATGACAGCAGCAATGGAGGGAAGGCTGTGAGTGGCTAGACCTAAGCTGTGTGGACCACAGCAGGCAGCCGCCCACCACACGTGAGAAGCCAGCCCTCCTTGCTCTGCAGCAAAAGCTATTTTTATAAGAGGGATTGTTTCTGAGAACCAGCTCTAGTGGAAGCTATCAGTGACACCGGGACAGGCAGCTCTAGAGAAGACTCCTAGCCCGGCTGCCCATGGAATGAGGGGAGTGCTGGGCCGCAGCCCAGACCAGGGGAACTGGACTTTCTGGGCGCAGGGCCCGGGCATGAAGACTTTTCAAGCTCTCCTAGCGAGTCCAGCATGCAGAGGAGCTGAGTGCCCTGGGCTAGATGGTGGCAATGCGCTAGAAACGCTGCAGAGACGGTGGCTCCGGGCTCCAAGGCTGAGAACTGGTCCAATGGCCGCTGCACCTGCTTCTCAAGACCAAACAGGTCGAGAGGCCGGGAGGAAGTGGGCCGCAATGCATATGCTGTGCACCCAATGGAACTACTTAGAGAGGATCCCAGAGCAGCACCAACACACCTTCTACACAAGTGGGTGACAGACCTCACAGGGTCAACCAGACCCGTTCCTCCCAAGAACATGTCTGATCAGTGACATGACTGTGTTTTCTGAGTCAGAAACTAATCTGAAGGAGACATGTACTCACAGAAAAACCAGCCAGGATGTGGGAAGCTGAGCTCCTCTCAGAAAACCCAGTCTGGGCACTGACGTCCTCAGACTTAGTCACTAGCTACACGGAAAGGACAGCTCTGGGGAAGTGGGGGCAGAGGGCAGGCTCAGTGAGAGGCCTCACCTCGTCACTGAAGTTCCTGAAGGCGGCCACTCTCTCCTCCACGCTGTCCTGATTCAGGGGCACCAGCTTCAAGCGATCAATGATCTGTTTAAAACAAAACCCACCAGCCCGTGTGACACACGCATCACCACCGTGTCAGCCCCTGAAACACAGCACCCAGCACGCTCACCACAGGCCACCCCTCACACCCAGAGGCTTTGCTGCCAACTTGCTGACTAACTTCATTCCTGTCCTCACTGCCTGAGGCCATTTTAAAACTCAGATTTCAAATTCCTCTGAGAGCTCTCTGTTTTCAGACTAAAAGGGAAAGGAATAGAAAAAAGAAAAAGGAAGCAAAAGCAACACTGAAATCCCCTTGAAATTTCCGGTTTCACACTTGTCCTTCAGTTGCAGGCAGACTGGTGACACTTCCTTCGTTTTCAGCGACTCCCATGAATGATCTGAATTTTCCAAGGGCATGTATTAACCTGCACTTCAAACACCCCTCCTGACACTCACGTCAAAGGCTCTGTCAATATGGCCACTGTGATATTCATCAAAGAAGGTAATCAGATCCAGCAGGAGATAGAATGTGGAGTCCACAAATTTATTTGCACTGACTCCCTGAGCCCTGTACCTGCAAGACAGAGAGAGGGAAGGGGTAGGACAGATTATGAATTCCCGTGCAATCTGGAGCTTTAGGACAGCACCTGAGAACCAGCACCTGAGAACCGTCAGAACCTCCAGAACGCTACATGAGGTGAACTGAGGAGTGGAACATGGGGTTTTCTTTTTGAAATGGCCGAGCTTTTGATGGTGGATCTGATATGAATCCTCCTGCAAATATTTGCAGGAAGCAATGCTCTCTAGCTTCAGCCACCATCTCTGCACCCACACATCCAGGAAGGATGGGGGTCCTGAGGGGCTAAAAGCCCAGCGGCCATCCCTGAGGACGGAGTGCTAAGTGGAGGTTTCTCATTGGCAGAGAGCGTTGTCCTGTGCTGCCCCAGGAAGCACCACAGCTCAGCTCTCTCTGGGCCCTTTGTCAGGGTCATCTGCAGAGGCTCAGCGGTGGCTCTGCCCAGCCTGGGAGTTAGGTCATCAGTTCGACGACTCTGTTAGCTCCCGGGGGAAGGTGCTTCTGAAGCGCTGGCCACGCCCCTCTAAGAACTGCCCCGTCTGGCCAGCACTAGCTTTGCTCCCAAACGCCTCTGGGATGGCTGACAATAGTAGAGAGTGCGGGATTAAAATGCTGAGAAACCCTTCCATACCCTTCTTTTGGGGAAAAACGTTAAGTCTGCCAGGAAACAGGAGCCTGAGGAGCTGCTGGAATGGGAGTCGGAGCTGCGCTGGAAACTGCTGTTACTGACAGATTTGGTGGGCTGTGATCCTGGCCCTGGGCATGGCATCGGCGTTGGCCTTACCGTTCCGCGATGGAGAGGGCCATGTTCTTCAGCCTCTCCTTGTTGGACTGTGGAGCGCTGATCTGGGGCACGACGGGGCTCAGCAGTTTGTTCATCAGCTCCAGCACCTTATCAGCATTCTGTTCCATGTTTTAAGGTAAGGAAGGAATCAAATAATCAATCGAAGGCACTAAGTAACCACACAGAACAGGGGACGTTCTGGGGTGGTGGTGGACACGCTCTGGATCTTGATCTGGGGGTAGTTACACCTACAGAACCATCTTGAAGCTGTGCACTTCATATCCACACTGGTCTACCTCTTAATTAGACCTCAATCAAAACATCTCTAAATTTAAAAAGAAATGAAGTGTAACCCTCTTTTTGTCCACTCTTCTGTTGATGAAAGAAGATATAATCTTTTCTAGGCTACACCCTCAGCAGCAGCCATATGTGTTCTGAAGTGGAAACCCTTATTCCTGGTCTCGGAATACCTCAACTGCCTCCTGCTCCCTACGGCGCCCCGATCACAGCGTGTCTGCGCTGCCCAAAGGGTAGGCACCAAGGCATTTCCACCAGTAGCTTCGCCATCAAAATGTGACGATGCTTATTCGGCTGCCAAGTGAGACCACAGCTCAATGCCTGCAGGACATCCTTACAATACGCCACTCTTTCTTGGCCAGAAATACGTCTCGGGCAGAAATAATTCTGTAGAGCAGACTATCACCCCGATCGGACCACAGATGCCTAAGCACCAGGGAGGGTGCCGTGGCAGGGGGCGAGCAGCCCCCCACCCAAATGTCTGTGTGTGTAACGCCCAGCAGCACAGACCCATTAAGTACGGGAAGAGGAAGGGCGCACTGTACCTTGGCAAGGTCGTAAAGCTTTGCGGCTTCCTCAAACAGTCCTTTATTTTCGGCCACGGAAGCAACTTTGTTGATAATAGGCTTCGTATCATTAGTAAACTTATCTATGACTCCAGGCTGACAAGACAGATGATAGATGGTAAGGGAGGGAGGGAGAGAGAGAGCTGAGTGCACAGAGCTGTTACTGTAAAGGCAGAGAAGCACCTGGGGTCTGAAAACCACTTTCACTGAAAACGCTTGCCCTGGGCATACACACATTTCATCGGCTGGGCTGGGCTGGGCTCGGCTTTCGTGGAAACAGGAGGGTTTGATAAACACATGAGAGGGAACTGCGCATGGAGAGGGAGCACAGAGGAGTCAGCAGGAAGACTGTGCTTTCTACTCTTCCAAAATGACCACAGTGTGGATGACTTTAACTTTGCTGATGAGCAGGCACCACGGGAGGGGGATCAGGAAACTCTGGGAAAATATTCGAGTCTTAGATTCGCTTTCTAGGACAGATGGCGAAAGAAACACAGTGCTCAAAATATACCCGGCAAGGAGTATCAGAGTTTTTTGTGTGTGTTTTTTTAATTTAAAATTTTCAAATCACCATCATCACCAATCTCATGCAGGTGGTCAGGAGAGCATGAGAGCGGCCTTAGGAGCCACAGAAAGCCAGGGCGGAGCTATCGTGGCAATCAGATTGCTAAAAAGCCCCTGACACGCTCAGCACAGTGCTTGGCAAATGTCCTGCTCGGGCAGCATGGCCACTGCCATCAGCCTGCCACCGGCCTCCCTTCTCTGCCAGACGGTGTGAGCGCTGTGGGCTCCCCTTGATCTCTGGGTCCTAGCCACCATCTCACAGGTGAGGAAAGTGAGTCCCCGGGAGAGGCACAGGAAGTGTGCTCAATGGGGTCAGGACTGGTCTCCAGGGCAGGGCCTCTGTCCCTGCTCCTGAGCCACCCAAGGAATCGCTGAGGCTCACGGGAGCAGCTGCGTCTCGGGGACAGTGGGGTGCTGAGCCCTCACAAGTACCTTCTGAGAGAGGCCAAGCATATTTCTAACTTTTCCATCTGGGGAGAGTAGGTGTGGTAATCAATCTTTTTTCTTGCATATTTCCTGAGCCAAGAATAAACAGTAATATAGCCTTCTCAGCTCCTAAGCGGCAGGCGTGGACAGATAAGTACTTTGCACATAATAAAAAGCTACCTAGTCACCAATTCACATACTTTGAGAAACGAATGTGTGTGAAATCAAGGTCATCATTTGGGGCCTGTAACAGCCATGCTTTGTGTTTTGAACTAAGCAACTCCATTCATATCTACACCTTTATTAGTACCTTGAAACCTAAAGTCTAACTGTAATCTTTGGACAATCACAAATCTCAGCTGCACACGAGCACATCTCCAGGGTGTGTTTAACCCACCTTTCTGCTCCCATCATTCTCCAGTTTCCCGAGGATCATGTCGAACTGCGGAGACATAAGTGTTTACTCAACTTACTGGACAAGATATGCCCATAGTCCACAATTCTTTGGGGACCAAAGAGGGGAAGGAAAGAGGGGAGGTGGGAGAAGGCTTACATTAACTCGGAAACAGTGGGACTGAATCAACATTTCATTGTCAGAAACCAAAGAAAATGAAAAAAACCCTGGGTCTTCTCCATCGGAGTCATGCTGAGGGTACCCGGTCAGCGTGAGACTGTACGCTGACAACCATGGGTGGGAGAGGAAGGAACCAACATACCTCTCGGCTCTCGATCACAAGCTCGCTCACACAGCGTAGAAACATGTTTTCTCCTTGACTGTCTTTCTCGTCCCTGTGTGGGGCAAAGGCAACATGGTTTCTAGTTTGGACTCGAGGTCACAGCCCGCGAAGTGAAGGGTCAGGAACAAGTTTTACCTGAGGAAGTAGAAGTACTGGAGGGCCTCCCTCGGGTCCGTGGACTCAAACTTCCGGGTGTAGAGCATGAGGAGGCGCACGAAGTTCAGCCGCCGCATGCAGGGGGGATCGCCAGGCTCATGGCTGACTGCAGGGGGGGGGACTGGTCACAACCAAGCTGTCCCTCGGATCCAGGCAACGACGGACTGTGGGGGTTGTCTAAGGACTCAGCAGCACTTAGTCCTGCAGCCCAGCCAATGCCGGCCAGCTCTGGCCAACCCCGTCACCACCTGTCCTCAATTTCTTCCCAAGCGCAGAGTGGAGACAGTGGGACCCAGACTCATGACCTAGGCCCTGCTTCTCCTGCTTTTCCCCCAGGCAACCTGCCAGACCAGCCACTAACCCAGCACTGTGCACGGCACTGTCGTCATGGTGGGTACCATCTGCCCACCCTCGTTGGCTGCAGGGATGTGTCCATTGCCACCCCCTGGGGGATGGGACATGGTTATGCTGCTGCCACCAAATACTCACGGAGTTGCGCACTCTGTCCGGAGGACTTCAAAAGCAGCTTGAGCTCAAAGAGCACGAGGGCCACGTGGACGGCATGACAGCGCAGCCGCTCGGTGCGGAAGAGAAAGGCGATGGCCGCCTCGAACTGCGCGGTCAGGAACAGCACTTGGAAGTAGAGGAAGGGCTGCTGGTTCACTGCGAAGTGGGACTCGCCTGTGGGGGGAGATGCAGCCCACTCAGAGGGAGTGAGCCTCCTCAGCCTGTGCCCTTCAAGGACCTCTGGGGGGTGGAGGGGCTGGGCACAGAGCACTGCCACGTGAGCCCAACCTGGTTCCATGGCCTTCTCTAGACCCTACAACACACTGCCAAGTAGGGAGCGTGTTGTGAAACCCAAGCTGCTTGCAGTAGGTGGGAGAGAAACAGAGTTCAGGACCTTAAAACGGAATACAAGAGGGCTGCTGATCGCCTTATCCTGATGAAGTCCCTCAACTAGGAGAGGAACGAAGACTGCAAAGGGGCTTCAGATCACTCAGAGTCGAAGTGACTGAATTCAATAACTACTGACCACTAGCTGGATTCTTTTCTTCCAGGATTCTTAAAGAATGTGGGGGGGGGGGGGGGGGGGTTCTCCCGCATTTGTGCTCTGATACAGCCACTGCAAGATCTATGAGAAAGCAATAGACAAGTCCCCTTTACGCCTCTCCCTGAGCAAATGTCGATCAGAGCAGTTCTAGGAAAACAGCTACTGTATAGACCATAAGTCACAACACTGCTGAAGGCCACATGGACTCGATTGCGATTTTAAATCCTTGTGCTAGGCTGTGTTTTGAAGATGCGGGGGGTCTGGAGGAGACAGAGTTCAGAGGTGAAGGATTTTCCAAGAAGAAGAAAATAGTGACCTTGGGTGAACGTGGGAAGGAGGTTAGTTCAGGGTATCTTACCGTAGTCTTCCAACAGCTGTTTCTGGAACTGCGAGAGAGTGAGCCTGTCCTGTGGGGAGCTGGTGCCATCATCATCGAAACACACTTGGTTCAACTAAACCCCCAAGAGAAACAGGTGCATTGGTACGGAGTATGTCCTGAGCCAGGCGGGCAGCTGCAGCTATAACTGCTCAGGTGCTGTGCTAGTGGCGTGGTTACCAGTTGGGAATGACACAATAAGAAATGGAGCCAGGACACAAAAATCCACTAGCCCGGTCGCCTTACTGGGTCATACGTTAAGCAGGTAAAATCTGCTGGTAGAACTCAGGCAGAGGGAAGGGGCCTGGGCAAGAAAAGCAGCGCCTGCCTTTAACCACAGGTAGTCCTCGGTTTTGTCGGCCACTTCGCTCTGGTTGTCAGTGACATCACACCTGCCGATGATGCAGTACACGGCCCGCTTGTAGGGGTCTGTGTTGTTCCGGAGGGCCCTGCGGTAGTGCAGGCGGAGCTTGTTCTCTGTAGCCGGGGACAATCTACAGACACAGGGAACAGACAGAAACAGTCACTAAGATCCTCGAGGGCATCTGAAAGCACCCGTTCCCAATGGCGTAACAGTTAGAAAGTCTTCCTTCCCGCAGGTCACAGACTCTGTCCTGCCACCCTGAGTCCCATCACTTTAGTCTGCAGGGTGACCGCCTGCCAACTTCCTCTCCAGCAGAGGCTTCAGGGTGGGGCAGAAACGTTGGGAGTGAATACTCCTCCCCTCTCTCCACGGCCCTCCACAGTGAAGGACAAGCAGAGTCCCTTATCCACGGGGGATCACATCCCAGATAAACACTTGCATGCAAATCCTTGCCTCCGGGGCTCCCTCTGGGGAAACCCAAGAACATCAACCCTACTTTACTCTCTGATACAAACCAGACAGGGGTTTATGGCTTACAACTATCTCTGAACAAGGCCTCATTAACATTGTCAAACAAATTCTTCTACATAAAGTCCATATATTTAAACTAACTTCTAATTCTAGCCTTTGAGCTATGGAGTGCATGACAACATACCGGGCTAACCAGAAAAGCACTAAGTGCTAATCAGTGAATCATTTTGTAAGCACCCTGCTGTGCCTGGGATTTGCAGAGTAAGTCCAATCATGCTCCCACCACAGCCTCTCCGGCACTGGAACAGAAAATTCCTCAAACACAGATGCGTGAACGTCTGGAAATGAGGACCAGAACGGGGCTGGCTCTTCTTCTAAGGCTTTCAACTGTTATTCCCCAGAGTCTCCTACTCGCCCTCTACACGTTACTTTTCCTCAGTAGACTTAGTGTGAGCCCTGCAGAGGGAAAAGAGAGCACCGCTCTGAATGCGCCATCCGTCACCGTACCTTCTGTCCTTGCTGTTCATGTATTCCTGGAACCAGGTTTTGAACTCTCCCAGCTGGTGCTGGGCTAGGTTGACCACCTGGGCGGCAGCCAGCAGGTCTCCGCAGCGCATGCAGTAATAAATCAACGCCCACACAGGGTGGCCTTCCACCTCTCCGTCCTGAAAGAGGAAAGATGCTCAAATACACACACAAAAAAGCCCCGACAGCTTTCCGACATGCTGACCCTCAGCTAAGTCCTCTCCTGTACTGGGTCCCTTAATACTGACCATCCCATTAGGCGGGCACCATTCATGGCCTCCTCTTCCTCCCTGTTTTATAAACAAACAGAATGAAGTGTGGCCACGTGAAGTATTTGCTCAAGGTGAGCTCCCAAGTGGCAGTCTTGGCTCTGAAGCTCTTCCTCTAAGTCACTCTGTGCCCCACCCGATTCAGAGCTGCCCGTCGTTTCTCCACGGGACCCAGCAGCCTCAGAAACCAGGTCGCGTGATCGGGGACAACTTAGACCAGCATTCCTTCAACCCCCATAAAGAGGGCTAAAGACGTCCACTGGCCAATAAGAGACCATCTTTTTCACTCTGAGTTTATAAAACTCAAGAGAGGTGAACCACAGACCTCCTTTCTGGCTTCTCCATCCACCCCTGCAGGACTCTTTCTTTCTAAAACCCAGATCTTATCATATCACTTCCCCACATAAACCCCTTTGAGCTGTTTACATACGAAATGCTTAGCCTGGCACTCAAGGCCTTCTCTAGCCGGCTGCAAGCTTGCCACGCCTAGCACACAGCCAATATTCCAGATACTCTTTCCTGCCTCCATGCATCTGTTCATACTGTTCCCTCCTTGTGGAATATTCTTTTCCATGTCCCAGGCTGGTGAGCCCCTGTTTATCAAGCACAAGTGGGAACCTCACCACCTTTATGAAGCCAGCCTCCTGTGTATCCCAACACTCAGTAGCACTTTCACACAGTATGATAAATGATTCAGTAATTCCCCCAACGGGGCTGTGAGCTGAGCAGAGGCCACACCCTAAGAACCATATGGAACTCCATTCTTCTAGCTGTCAGAGCCAACAGTCTCAGAAGTCATCCCTGACTCTGCCTCCTACACCCACTTTCAAGTTCTTCAAGTCCCACTGGCTCTGCTTTCAAAACACATCCGGAACTCAGAACATCCTACGCCCCGGTCCCACACACACATACCGAGCTGAGCAAGTGCCATCATCAGCCGGACTCCTGCACTCCTAGCCTCCCAAGGCCTCCGAGCTTCTCTCCTCTCCCTCTGGTCTCTTTTCTACACCTAACTTCATTTTAACGGAAAACTCTGGCGGTATAAATGATCACACAGAGAAAATTGCCAATACCTGAAGTCCAGGCAAAGGAGCTGGCAGTTTAATGTTCAGGAAACTTCGAACCAACTGGTAAGTCCCAGGCACACCGCCCAGCTGGGCCTGATGCAAATTCCCAAAGACCGTCACGAGGGTGTAATTCTTATAACTGGAAAAATTAAAAGAAAAAACTAAGGAGGCTGAAAACCCATATCACACACATCTTTGTCCAAATCCATGGCAGTGGACAGACGACTGTGAACTCTGCAGGGCGGGGCCTGGACGTCCGCCTGACACAAAGAGGAAATGGTGCATATTTAATGAAGTAAGCCGCATTACTTATGCAGTGGGCAGCGGATTGTGGTAACGATTTCTCATCACTGCAGATACTCAGCAGAATCCCTGGAGGAATATAACTATGGACTTCAAATGCATTAGGGCTAATGTGCAGAATAATAATTGCTGCAGCTCACAGCCTAATGTTCTAGTGAGTTCTTTTTAAACCTTTTCTTTGGAAAAATGTCAACCTACAAAAATTTAAAAGAATAGCACCAGCAAAAATACTTTAAAAGTGAGTATAATTATTCTTAAAATATTCGTTTTATCAACAGGTGACAGTGAATCCTTTAAAAGAATGCCAGCAGGGAACAATGCCGCCAGAGTGAAAAAGAACACGTTACAATAATGTGGACAGGAAACCCCAAATAGCTCCAAGAGCTGCTAAAGGAATTACTGGGATAAGATAATTATAAAAAAATGAAGATGGTAATAATAGTAATAATAGTAATAATAATAATAATAATAATAATAATAATAAAGGGGTGGGGGGTGTTGCTTACCAGATATAAAACCAAAGAACACAGCCTGGCACACTGGCGAAGGCAATCACCAGTGTTAATGGAGGCCAGTGAGTTCAACGTACCCCCCATGGTGTTCATTTCACATAGCTACTGTACAACACAGGATCTGATATAAAAACTTATTCTCTGCTGACCGAGTCTGAATTACCTCGGTTACACCCAGGAAGCTTTATGAGCTCCTAATGAAGTATTATCCTGTTGATTAAGGGGACCCACTGCCAGGCCGCAGGCAGCTGCACAGGCCCCGTAGCAAGGAGCTGAACTGAGCGGTGCATTCAGCTGGGCTTTTCTTCCCCAGCCAGCAGAGCCCAGCACCCTGGCTCTGAAACAAACAGGGTCTGCGGCCCACTCATGACGGCCCCTGCTGGCCAATTCAGAACGGGAAGGAGTGCCCACAGGGAGGGATGAATGGCACCAGCCCTACCAACAAAGGGTATTCCCAATAGTTAGGGCACAGCCACAGCCCCCTCAGTGACCAAGTCCAATTAGTGAGGGGGTGGCAAAGAAACCCAGGCACAAATCACAGCCATAGCAGCTGGGCAGGACTGGACTCGGGATTAACTGGCTAGAACCAGAAGGAAGAGAAAGGACCAAGGGGCCTTCCTAAGGTTTAAAGGTGGCAAGACTGCCAGGTGTGAAAATTAAAATGCTGAGCAAAGACAAAGGAGCCTACGAGTCATTGCTGAGCCGCAGGAGGGAACAGGATCCCGACCTAAGGCACTTGGTCTAGTAATCATGTTATCTCCATACGGAGAGGCAGCCGGAGGAGAAAGAGAAGTGTAACAGTGCCCCCACCTCCCACGCTTTTTCACTGTTGCAGAACTAGTCCTGACAGAGAAATGCTTCAGAAAACAGGATCATTCCCCTTGGACCTGCTGCACTTGTTTGAACCCAGCTACAGAGCATTTAGCGTAAGGACTACTGGACACGGGAGAAGTGAGGGACTTCCGGGCACTTTAAAGCTAGCCCCGCTGTGCCGCCGCCTCACCTCTGCTCCAGGTACCGCAGGGCCTGCCTGACCAGCTCCATGCGCACTTCCACGCTGCTGCGGCTCTTCAGGGCATCCATGGCCGGTGCCAGCAGCACGTCTGTCATTTGCTTTACCATGGTCCACAGGTCAGAGATGTTCTGCACGTAAGTAACGGCACGTGACAATGCTGTGGGGCTGGAGAGAGTGCCTGGCTCTTCCTCGCTCGGACCTGCTCACCGCAGGCAGGCAGGCCACGGAGGGGGCGAGGCTAACGGCTCCTGTCGGAGGCCCCCAGGCTACGCCCAGCACAGAAGATGCACCTCTGCCCCGCCGCCTGCCAGGCTTTCACCTTCCGACAAGCAGCCTGTCCAAGCTGGCTGCAGATCAATGATGATCCCAGGCCTGACAGAACCACCCACATGCTTAAGACCACACAGAACTACAAACAACACTGAATCTCAGTGGGTTATCCCTTAAGAGAGAGTGGATACTTTTATAATCATCCAACGCGCTAGGAGTTTGAACTCAAGTAGCTGCATTTCGGTCCTTACAAGGTCGTTTCAGTTTGGTAAGGCTTCAAATGAAAGCTTAACCTAAATAATGTTTTGTCCTCCGGAGACTCCCCAGGGCCACTGCTCTTGGCCCATTTTGGGTAAAAAGCCCCCCCCTTTCCTTCCCACTCAGTCCCTCAGAAGGCGCCTCCCGAGACAGGAGCAGGGACAGGAGCGGCCGTTCTCGCCCTTGTTACCAGCACACAGCTGGGCTCCTCTCCCAGCACCTGCCTGGCTTACATCTGCCTGGAAAAGTGTTCCCGGAACCTCTGCACTATTATAAGTAAGAATCCTTGGACGAGTAGGGAAAAGCAGGTTAACACTGTTCCAAAGGGAACAAAACCACACCCTACTTTCATTGTCCTCTCCAAAATTAAAACTGAAAAAATCCACCCAAATGCGACTCTTCCTAGCTGGTGACATGGTAGGTGAATTGCGTACTTTCTTCTTTAGATGTTTGCAGTGCCTTATATTTTACTATTTTAAAAAAAGCAAAGCTGGATGCATTTCTGAAGGAAAAAAATCTGCCTGCTTACTGCCATTATATCCTTCCTCTTTCCTCCTTCCTCCTGGACCCCTACCAATCCAGCCATCCACATAATTTATTTCCCCCCTGGGGGATGAAATTGGCCACGATGAGAATAAAGAGGGGGAGGCAGAGAGCAAGGGAACCAGCAGCATATGAAGAGATGAACACCCCACCAGAATCATGTTCACGAGGCTCACGGTGTGAAGACCACATACATCACCTACACAACACAGATCCCATTAGTCTGCCTAAGGAGGGAAACCAGTGAGGGAGGAGTTAAAGCCAACAGGACTTCAAAGCAAACACAGCTCAAGAACTCCTGTGGCCAAGAATTGATCCTGGCTGAACCTTCTGAAGATGCATTAAAAATACATGTATAGCACCATCATCAAAAAACCAACCCAAGATCTAGCCGGTTTGGCTCAGTGGATAGAGTCTGCAGACCTGAAGGGTCCCAGGTTCAATTCCAGTCAAGGGCACATGCCCAGGTTTCAGGCTCGATTCCCAGTAGGGGGCATGTAGGAGACAGCCAATCCATGATTCTCTCTCATCACTGATGTTTCTATCTCTTTCTCCCTCCCCTTTTCTCTCTGAAATCATTGGAATGTATATATATTTTTAAATTATTCACAATACAACTCTGAGGAACAGTTAACCTTTATCCCATGAACCGTGTTTCTTCAGCCCATTTCTGCCAAGTCAGCAAGCTGCTAATCCCCTCTGCACACCGGCCCCAGGTTCCTGCTCGGTGGCTCTGGGCCCTACCTTATCGTCCAGCTCTGCGACGGAAGCGCAGAGGTCCACGAGGTTAGGCTGCAGGTGCCCGTTTACGATCTTCTCGTTATAGATATAAATCTGAAATAAGGAAAAGCAAAGGCACATTTCTATTTTCGTCTTCTTTTTAAAGCCTCTTGAAACCGTGCTTAAGCCAGCTCCTGCCCCACAGTCAGCCAAGTTCTGGCCTGCCTGTCCTTCTGCTGTCCGCCCTGTCCAGTGGGCAAGGCCACAGCCCTCTTCCCAGGTGTGTGATTGAGCAACAGCATCTGCACAAAGAGCTAACTGCTCCCCCACCCTTCCAGACACCTGAGAACTGGGAGCAGGGTGCTCCTGGGGGCGCACCGCAGGCCGTTCCGTGCCTCTGCCAGCAGACCCTGAGCCCCAGGGGGCAAGGACCACAGGGAGAGGCGGACGATGGCAGGACCCGCAGCTGCTCCCTAAGAACCCGAGGCAGAGTTTGGTAATCTTTCAGCAAAGGGACGGAATGGTCAGGCCCAGGGCTCGGGGACTGAGTGGGGAGGTGTGACCGCAGCCCTCCCCAGGTCAGAAGAGCAGCTGTTTGGAGTGCCCTTTCTCCTTAGCAAATGTTCCCAAGGAAAAGGAATTATGCGATCTTTAAGGTATGGAGAAACCACTATTACTATGAATTACATTTTAAAAGAACTAAAATAATGATTGTGAAAACTAGCAAGCTCTAGTCTTTACATCTGAGGTCCTTGCTCTACCAGGAATGGAACAAGGCAGTGATGTTAGAAAACCGGGAACCCACCGCACCTACTTCCCTCTGCCACAAACGGGGGTGCCACCACGTAGCCTCTGGGGGCTCTGCAAAGGCTTAAAATGGGTTTTAACCTGGAAGGTGGTGTGGATTCACTCGATGAGCAAAGGGGCCCTCCCCGCTTTGCAAGGTACTATGTTCAATCTGGGATGGAAAGATCCACTCCCCACCTAACACTGTGGTGTACTCAGGGCTGGGAATGTGAGTTCTCCGAACCCCCGTCTTCACAGATACAGAAGACTCAGCTTCTCTCTTCAGAAGCTTACTTGTTAGGCCTGAACTCCGGTGGTGGCTGGGGCATTGGAAGGAGTCTGCCAATGAAGGTGAACTTTAAAGGATGTAGATGTAGCGGGGAGGGGTCTCAAAACTGGAGCGGAAAAAAGAAATGAGTAGTAAAAGCTGAGGGATGTGGAAGGAGGGGCTGGCTTTGGCTGCCGGGTTAGAAGTGGCCACGGTATACTGAGACTTAAAAAAAACTATTTAGAGCTCTTCTCACCAAAGGGTGTAAGAGGGATGGAAGTCTGCCACCCTGGATTCAGGAAACAATTTCCCCTTTTTGATACTCTGTGCGAGGAAGCAGCAATTTGGAATAAAACATACAGGTGGCCAGCACTGCTTTATTCAAAAAGTCAGTTCCAGCCCTGGCAGATTTGGCTCAGTGGATAAAGCATCAGCCTGCAGACTGAAGTGTCCCCGGTTCAATTCTGGTCAAGGGCACATGCCTGGATTGTAGGCTTGAACCCCTCCTCACCCACCTCCCTGTAGGGGGCGTGCAGGAGGCAGCCAATCAATGATTCTCTCTCATCATTGATGTTTCTCTCTCTCCCCCTTCCCATTGAAAATCAATAAAAATATATATTTAAAATGTCAGTTCCAGGTACATAGTGTCCTCAGGGCCTTTTCAGTCCAGTGAATCCCCGTGCTCCCCACACCCGCAAAGTTACCTCAATCCACACCCATACGATGACATGGTCATGATACACAACTGGACCATGGTCCCACAATAGTGTGAGCTTGCCCACGACAACATTAGAAAGTGGTGAGTACACGATGCTTATGAAGCAGAAAAGCATTTAGAAAATTTCTCAGCACAGGGTGAAGAGGGACTTCCCATAATACCACCAGCCTCCCAGGTAATCCAGTTAATAGAGAACTCCATTTGCTAAGCAGTGCAGTTACCCAAGGCTTTACTGTGCATGGGCTACTGCCAAGTGCAAAATGAGATGCCTTGGCCATATGGAGGCAGAGTTCAATTTCCCTAAACCAAATCGGAGTCAGTCAATTAGCCAATTTGATAGAATTCTCCAGTGGCCTAGACGGTAAAATATTAACAGTCCTCTGAATGAGGCCTCAGGGTTTGACTTTCACATGAAGTCTCTGCTCTCTTTTACTCCCCAGGGGGCCCACATTTTCCCTGGACTCCATCTTCCTAGAGAGAGTGCTCACCTGCCGGGCATAGGCCATCTCGATGCTGTCCAGAGAGCTCCGACCAGGGGGTCCCACATCGCTGATGTAACTTGGCTGGAGACGAATACACATCCAGAACTGGTTAAGAACAGCATTCAGTCATATAAACAAACAAAAATTATATAAACACATGCCTGTCTTTTTAAAATGTTTTTATTTGAGAGAAAGGAAGAAAGAGAGAGAGAGAAACATCTATGAGAAATATCAATTGGCTGTCTCCTGAATGCCTACTAAGTGCTAAGCACTGTCTTAATGTCCATGTATTCACTCCGCAACCCTATGAGATATGTGCCTTCACCGTATCAGTTTTACACATGGAGACACCAAAGCACACAGAAAGCAACTTCCCAAGGGCACTCCTATAGGAACAGTGGAACCATGGTTTGCATCCGAAGTCAGCACCACACTGCCGGCCAGGGCAGCTAGGCACAACTTTCCAAGGACAGCCATTGAACGGCAAGAGTGGTTAGAAATGCTGGCTCCACCACTCGCTGGTGTGACCTGGATGGAGTATACTGCTCTTTTTAGCTATAAAACAGGAGCGGGGCTGAGATGCACTCACAGGTCTGTGAAGATTCAGTGGAGAGAAAAGCAGTATTCACAACATCTGTTGTGAAGAGTAAGTAGAAAGAGCTCAGCATAGTGTCCAACACGCAGCCAATAAATGCTAGCTGTTCTCATTTTAAACAAAAAATAAAAACAGAAATAAACTCCACATTGAACAATAGACAGATAGGGACACTACCGAAACATAACTTAAAATGTTTTCCTTTGAGCTGGCTGGAAATTCTCATCTGGTCTTTTTATAAAAAGCACATTCCTGTATGAACAGAAGCCCAGCAGCTCGTTTTCGACATCTGGACTAATTGTGAGTGTTCGCAGTAACGGAGCGGAGGGCTGTTCGGTAAGACCACCGTTCTGGAACAGCAAGTCTTTTTAAAGAAGAGATCTCCATGCCTGTTAATCCCAGCGACCTGGGGAGGAATGAGGCGGGGGATGGCAGGGGAGCAGTACTAAAATATTTGTGCAAGGACACAGCTGTTTCAGCTAAATACACACAAATAGCCTTGAGAAACATTCTCCAGTACTCAAAACCTAATTTTTAAAATTATCCATTTAAAAAGTAGTTGGTTTTCAGGCTTCAGATTTCCATTTAAATTAATGTTGCTTAATGCTCTTGTTTTCAAAAGCACCTTTCCTTCATGTGTCCTTGGCCCAGCCTCTATGTCACCACACATAGAGTCAATTATCCGTCCACAGGATGTGTACGTGCACATTCCTGAGCCGAGGAACCAGCAAATGCTTGTTGGAATTTCAAAGCCAGGGGCTGCTTGAGGCTGGGAAACCAGTATACGCTGTTGGAATGTCACTGCAAACTCCTCATACTTATGGGTTTCTCTCTCCGGGCCCAGAGTGAACACAGTGGGGGTGACAGGAGCAGGAACCAGAGATCAGAAAGACAGGGAGGGAAGATGGAAGGCAGGGCCAGAGAAGGGGCTCGCCCAGGAGTCTAGAGAAATGTGGAGAAACAGCCACTTGTGGGAGCACAGCCATGATGCGGGTCCTTTCAGAGCAGATGGTGTTCCCAAAAGAGTCATTCTAAGAGAGCACCCCAGAACAGGTGAGGTGTGGCTGGAGTGGCAGGAGGGAATTACAAACTTTTACACTTTTGTTCAGAGTGTATCCAGGGATGAATCAAACTCTTCCCAAGGAGGCCACATTCTAGTCGGGGAGAAAAGCATGGGAACTAACACTCCTAGGAAAACAAGTGCAGAATAAAGAGGAAGCATGGGGATACTACCGAAGAAAGGGAATTGGCTTTATGTGAGCTCAATGGGGCCAAAGTGATGAATTGACAACGCTGGCTATGAAATCTGAACACAGAAACCAGTACTACTAGTGCAACTCAACACTGAATTTAAGACATCCTGGTTTCAGAAATGTTAAAATGTGGGAAAGATACACATATCTTTCTTGGAATTGATGAAATACGGCACTAAGTCAGTTATCAAAATCAGACACTATGGCCATTTATGCGGTTCACACATCACTGTGTGGAATGTGACCTTCATTATCTATAACTATTATATTAAGCTACAACTGGTTTCTCTACTGAGCATTTTAGTGGCTAGGCTAAGACATATTCCAGACCATATATTAAGGACCATCCACTGACTATGTCTAATTCCCTTACTGAGGTTAGATGATTTACCTGTGAGTGCTGTTTTTAAAGCTGGCTCAATACATCAATTCCCAACACTGCTCATGCCCCCTGTGCTGTCATGTCAGCCGCGCCACATGGACTAGAGGCAGGAAGGACCAGGTAGGGTACAAGGACTCTTTGCCAGGAGCCTCTTTCTTGCTGCAAAGTATATCCTTCTTATTCAGCCCAACTTGAAAAGTTAATAACAATCTTCCAATCTCTACCTTCCTTTAAAAAGCAGACCTCTTTCTTCAATGATGTCCTAAGGAGATTAACTTCCCAAACTGAATGTATGCCACTGAAGCACCATTTCCCTTACTGGAACTTGCCAGCAACAGACATGAGCAATGTGTCACTGCTCTTCTATTATCAGATGGCTTCGGGGGAAATTTTTCAGGAACCACCATATCCTAGCTCATTTTTGCTTTAAAAAAAAAAAAAAAAAAAGCCTCAAGCCTCTCTCTATATTACATTACCCAAATGTGAACACTTTCCTCCAAATGTAAGGTCAGCTCAAAATGACTGGAAGTTTCCTTCCTAACTAATGACTCTGTGGATTCCAACAACCATTTCCCTGATAATAAATACTTAAAAAAAAAAAAAAAAAGCAGGTCCTATTAAAATGATTAAAATAAAATAAACGTTGTAGAGCTCACCAAATTATAACAGTCACCAAAACTGCCGCTAGGATGTGCTGTGTGCTCTGTGCCAGCACTGGTCTAGGGCTTTATACAAGCCCCACGTTCCTTCCAGCTCTTCAAGAGAGAACCTGGATTTCAAATGCCGTCTCTGGCTCCACACTATGTGGTTTCCTATAAGAGGGTAAAGAAAGTGCTGCCCAAGTGAAGATGCTATTACCTTTCCATTCCTTTGGAGAAAATTATGTGGAAAAAGCCTGTAAAAACACATGGTTCCACATATCCACCAGAATGGTTAAATTTAAAAGGACAAAATGTTCACAACAGCGCTATTTATAAAAGCCCCAAACTGGGAACTATCCAAATGTCCATCAACGCCAGAATGGATACACAGATTGCAGTTACACTGTTCAGCCGTGAGAATGAATGGCCTACAATGATATACAGAATGTTAAGCAGAAACAGGAGTACATATTGTATGACTTCATTTACATAAAGTTCAAAAATAGGCAAAATCTCTCTCTCCCCTCCTCCCTCTTCCTCTCCCCCCCCTCTCTCTCTCTATATATATATGCGCCTAATATGCAGATTTTCCCCGTGGAAGTTTGGCCAGGAGACCAATCGCTCACTATATGTGCTGACCACCAGGGGGAGGTGTGGAGTGAAGGCTCTGATCAGCCCTGATCACCTGGCCAGGCCTATGGACTCTACCTGTGCACCATTTTCGTGCACCGGGCCTCAATTAATCTGTGATGTTAGAAGTCACAGCAGTGGTCCCCCTGCTGGGGGCAGTGGGGGTAGTAACTGAAAAGGCATATAAACGAGGAGGACTCTTGGGTGCTGGTAATGTCCTGTTTCTAATCTGGGTGTGTTCCATTTGTGATCATTCACTGAGTTGTATTCTTAGGATGTGGGCTTTTCTGAACACGTTGTACAATACTTTAGGAAAAAAGTTCAAAACAACAACAACAAACAATAAACCCACAGGGGTTCATAAAGCGGCAATTTTCTGAATAACCTGGGGAGAAAGCCACCACACCATTCACTGGCTTTTACAGCCAACCCACCCACTCTGCTAGGTGTCACAGAGAACAGCAAATGCTGGTAACTCCCTTCCCAAGGTCAGGGAAGGGAGAGTCTGCTAAATAGACTAGTCTATTTTTAAAGAATAATCAAGAAAGAACATCTCATTAACAGCTTATAATTACTTCCAAATCCCAATACAGACCACAACCTATTAACACCATTTTAAAAAATGAAGTTTATAAAGCCATGAGCTATTCTATTTATCTGCCCGGACTCACAGGAAATTGAGAAAGAAATATTAGGTTGATCAAGGGCTTTGGACATTAGTTCTTCCTTCCCAAGACTCTGATTGGAGTCTTGACGTCTTTGAGTCTAAGATATGTGAACAGAGCCTTAAGGAGTAATTTTCTAAGACAAATTACTTTAGCACCTTTTTATTTGGGAGCTAACTTAGTAGAAAAACTGGTTTTTAAATCAGGAATAAATCTATAGATATGGGATGTGTGAAGTTATCCTGCAGGCATGACAAACTGCCAAGCTACCCACCCTTGAAGCAGACTTCAACCGAACATGGTCTAGAAGGAGACAATCCTGTGTCTCACCAGCATATTACACATCTCTCTGAGCCCCAACTATCCTAGCTATTATGGGAGAAGTACGCTAACTAACCATAAAACAACTTTGGGAAAAATAACTTATCGAAAAGCATTGATAAAAATATTTGAAATGTCTAACACTATAATTTTCATAACATTATAATTTTTAATCTGCACCTCTAAATTATCTGAAACTGCTTTTTACAAAATATAGGATGGAGCGGCCATTATGGGTCAGGTTATCACTAATCTGCCCAATAACCACATTTCACCAGTGAAGACACTGAAGGTCTGCAGGGTTAAATAACTTGGTTAAATAATTTGGACAAGGTCAGTGGTAAAACTAGAATTTGAACCCAGGGCTGTGCTCTCCCCACACCAGAGAGGCAAATGTGTGGCAAGCCACGGTGTCCCAGCACAGGGCAGACATCACTAATCAAGCCACAGTGTCCCAGCACAGGGCAGACATCACTAATCAAGCCACAGTGTCCCAGCACAGGGCAGACATCACTAATCAAGCCAGTGTCCCAGCACAGGGCAGACATCACTAATCAAGCATGACATTCTTCCTACTGATCCTAACATGTAGCCGCAAATAGCTTGAGGCTATGATGCATATTTGAGGTCTTCAGCAGATGATAATTATTCGTTTATTTATTAATATGCTTTTATTGATTTCAGAGAAAGGAAGGGAGGGGAGAGGGAGAAAGAGAGAGATGCAATTAATGATGAGAGAGAATCATGGATCAGCTGCTTCCTACATGCGCCCCACTGGGATTGAGCCCACAACCCAGGCATGTACGCTGACTGTAAATCGAACCATGACTTCCTGGTTCATGAGTCAATGCTCTACCACTGAGCCACACCAGCAGAGCTACCTCCCGTTTTTATTAACAGTGTTTCATCTTCTGGGCCCAACCTACCTCACTTTCTTGAGTAAAGTCCAGGGCATCTTCTCCTGATGCCAGCAGTGTGTGGAGAATTCGCTGTTTCACTTGCTCCCACTCGACCAGCATTGACTCTCGATGGTACTCTTCAGCCATGCCAAATGTCTGTCAGAGACAAGCAGGGAGAGGCAGCCCAAATGAAAAAAGCAAAGAATATGGTTTCCATTAAGCGCCCCCCCCCCAATCTACTATCTGTCCATAAGTAGAGATAAAGCAATTAACTTTAAAAACTACCCTTAAAGAGTTCACTGATGTGAGTTTGCAATATACCATTTTATCAAATCTAACACATTAAAAATTTTTAATTGTGATAAAATACACATAACAAAATTTACCACCCTAACCATTTTTTAGTATAGTCAATGTACCGAGTGCCTACACAGTTCTGTGCAACCATCACCACATCCATCTCCAGAACTCTTTTCATCTTGTAAAACTGAAATTCTGCACCCAGTAAACCATAACTTCCTATTTCTTCTTCTCCCTAGCCCCTGGCAACCACCATTCTACTTTCTGTCTCTATGACTCTGACTATTCTAGCTACCCCTCAGAAGTGGAATCATACAATATTTGCCTTTTTGTGACTGACTTATTTCATTCAGCATAATGTCTTTAAGATTCATCCATGTTATAGCATGTGTCAGAATTCCTTTCCTTTTTCAGGACAAATAATAATATTCCATTGTATGTATATACCATAATGTTTATCCACTTATCTATTCATATGGACTTGAATCGCTTATTTCTACCTTTGGGTTATTATGAATAATGCTGCTATGAACATGGGTATACAATTATCTCAAGTTCTTGCTTTCAGTTCTCTGGGGTATATATACCCAGAGTGGAAATGCTGGATCACATGGTAATTCTGTTTTAATTTTTTTGAGGGATTGTTTCCGTCAAGGCTGTACTGTTTCACAATCCTATCAATAGTGCACAAAGTTCTAATTTCCTTACATCTTTGTCAATACTTACTATTGTCTTGTTGTTTTTATAGTAGCCACCCTAAATGGGTGTTAGGTAATATCTCATAGTTTTAATTTGCATTTCCCTGATGATTAATGATGCTGAACATCTTTTCATGTGCTTATTAAGACAAATGTAGAGTGGAAAATAATATAATATACAGTAAATAATAATACAAGAATAAACTCTGTTTCACAGACCCACAACTATAAACCAACTTCTGCCTCACCCTGTATATTTTTAAAACCTCTGAAATTAGGCTACATATTACAACTGACAGCATGTCAGTTTATTTTCTCTGCAGTACATAAAATAATGATGGATTATATTGTAAAATCAATGCTAAGATTTAATAAGCATCTAAGATAAGAAAACAGGAAAAACAAAAGTGTCTTCATTTTTTTAAAGAAAGTCACATTTTCATAGGAGGAAGCAAACCAGTAAAAGAAAAACAGAGCCTTCTATGGTGAGGTTTCCTACCCGCCTACTCCAAGTCACCACTGAAATGTCTGGCACACCTCACTCCTGTCTGCTGCTGACACTGCAGTTGTTACCAAAACAAAGGCACCCAGAAGGAAAAAAAAGAGGGAACAGAAGAGAGAAGAAAGGAAGGAAAAGAGGGAGGGAAAGAAGACAAAATACAACCTCTGAGGAGGAAAATAAGCAACTTATAGAGATGTACTGAATCATGACCATTCTTAGCCTATTATTCTTTAATTGGCAAAGCAAGTTTCTATCAACTTTTTTAAAAAATATATTTTATCTATTTTTCACAGAGAGGCAGGGAGAGAGATAGATGGTTAGAAACATCAACAAGAGAGAAATATCGATCAGCCGCCCTCTGCACATCCCCCACTGGGGATGTGCCTGCAAACAAGGTATATACCCTTGACTAGAATCGAATCCGGGATCCTTCAGTCCACAGGCCAAAGCTCTATCCACTGAGCCAAACCGGCTTTGGCAAGTTTCTATCAACTTAATCCCACTTTTCAAAAAGCCATTTCACCTACAACATGATTACAATCAGATTGGCATCCAATTAGGCTGCACCGAGGGAACGAGCATCAGTGATGCCTGCTTTAATTTTGGCAATGCAGATAATTTATACTGATAATAACCATATACTTTGGAAAACTGTCAGAAAAATTACATATACTCTTCCCACAAATGGGATGTCTGACTATGGACCAATATTTATTAAAATGTGAAAAAGAAGCACACCAGAGGCGCACAAAAATGACTAGGAAGAAGGCTGGCACATCTTGCAAGCTTGATCCAGCAATGGATCGCTTTTTAAATATGCATTCTGAGACACAAGGAGAAATGACTCTCACAAACTTCAAAAACAGTGTCCCACCTAGTTGTGGTTTTTTTTCCCCAGAGAGTCAGGAGGAATGGACCACTCCAGCCAGTTAGTTAGCCTGGCTGAAAAAGTAGTTAAAGAAAAATCTTTTTCTCTTGGTACACGAATGAACTTATATGTGAAAGCTCTATATTTTGAATAGAGAGAAGTATGTTAGAACAGAAAGATATCCAGAAATAGTGTACAAGTAAATTTCAATTTCTTCTAAAATTTTTCCTATTTAGTGGTCAGACCAACCTCCTCCTCAGCCTTGAGCCGCTCTCAGGAGGGACAATGGAGGGCCAGGAGGCACGAGGACCAGGGTGTGTAGAAATAAGGAGGCGGGGCAAAGCTTTCCAAGCTCGCAACAGCCAGCGAGGCACGCTCAAAGCTGTGACACTAACCCAGGACACACAAAAGACAAGAATGGCAGAGTAGGAAAGGAAGAAAACAGACAATACGCCATCCAGAGATCCTGCTGATGAGGATGGGGGAAGCAGACTTCCAGCATCATGTAAGGGACAGAGTGACCACCATGGGGATTAACCAGGCTGCCCTCCTGTGTGCCAGAACTCTTGGGCCTTGAATACAGGATGTACTCTGCAAACTGGCAGCTTTCTGGGACCAAATCCTCGGACAGATCTGAGAGGGGTGCCAGCTTCTCATTTAGAAACAACCCCACAACCTGAATAAACAGCCCTGTGGTTCCATTCATCATTAGTGTGATAAGAAGCTGCAAATAAAAATGAATGGCCCGACATTAAAATTCTCTTCCCTTGACCATGCCGCCCCAGCTTATCTTAATTACATTAGAGAAAATGGAACATCCAATTTGCGGGCTAATCAGGAATGATCAGCCACCCATCTGCCCTATTCCAGCCTGTTCCCTTTAGATCCACGTGATGGATTAGGTGCAAAGAAGAATGTCAACTAGGGGAGCTCATGAGAAATCAACAGTGCTACTCAACTAAAAACCACAAGAGGACAGGGGGGGCTGGAGGCAAGGTGGGTGCAGGGAATAGGAACAAAAAGGAAAGAACCCCAAGGGAAAAAGGAGGAATGAGCAGGGAGGGCATAAAAGGTCTAAAATTAAAAGAAGACCGAATAACCATAGAAAATGTGGATGCAGTTATGTGTGGAAATAAGCTCTTTGAATACAGATAAGAAAGGAAGGCAGGGAGAGGACTGGGCAACTGAAGTGAGAACAGGTGGGGAGCTCTCAAACCCCTTTTTCATAAAGGGAAGAGGGCAATATGTCTTGACTTCACACCCGCTTATTATTGAGCTGTTGCTGGCTTTTAGACACTCTACATATGTTCTGATAATGTTGTTCTGTTTTTGCTGGGATGCACCAAATGGAAAAAGATAGGACACATTTGTGGTTCCGTAGCTTGTTTTCTTGGCATTGAAGCAGGACATTGGCATGTTATTCCAACATGAAATTACCACCAAAACGCCAGGAAGCCGCTCAGCCATTGTTTGGAAAATGACTCCTGCTTTGTGGCAGTTTCCCAGTGTCTGGCCAGGGGAGAGGTCTTCCTGAGGCTGGCTCCCAACAGCGGGACGTCTCCCTCGCAAACACATATGCAAGCATTTTGCACTGTGGTATGTCACTTAAATGTTTTAGCTGGCTGCACATTTAGTCTCAGTATGACACCATGTTCAGAGACTGCCAATTCTAGAAGCGCATTCCGCAGGGTAAGTGGATTAATAAGGCTCGGTAGCATTGGACAGTCCTAATTTTATTAGTCCTTTACAGCAGGAGAATCAAAGTCGGTTGCTCACTCAAAGTGTGAACAAAAAACACATTTTTCAAAAATATTTCCAAATCCAAATCAAGTGAGTTTTTCTAGATATTTCTAGGAATAAGTACTGTTGCCAAAAATATAATTAATAAAATTTTAGGGCATTTTACTGATAATTAAACATGTCAGTCCTTTGGAACATTTTCTTATAAATTAGAGCTAGCAAGCCCCTGCTGCCCTATCTCACAGCAACCCCCCTGAGACACTTCTACCTGCATGGAACATTTTAATAAAGCACTCTGAGAAGCAGCTTTTTTTCACTTTATTCCTTCTTACATAAATAAGACAGAGATGTGTTTTGCTTGATATAAGGATTACATAAGTAAACCGCGAAACTAAGTTCTCTCTCACCCCTACGCGCCTTTGCAGACACAACGCTGCTGGGAGACACACTGCGCTTTTAGAATCTACTCCGCATGATGGATAATCTTCCTCCTCCCTCCCCAAGACTCTGGGTGGCCTGAAAATAGCTTACTCAATAATGGGAAATTTTGGAAAGGTTTTATCTTTTAATCCTTGTCAGAAACAAGTAGAGATAACACACATGTGAGTAAAATAAGCGACCTTTGAGTATCTTGAGGGAATGCTTATTGCAAAATATTGCTGCACTTGTAATGGCTGTCCTGGCTGACTTATTTACTCTCTTTCAAGGATCAAGCTAATTTGTTTTGTTTTTTTCAAGAGCTTGGAGAAATCATTAATGTAGAAGGCAGCATAAAGAATAAGATCTCGCCGAGACCGGTTTGGCTCAATGGATAGAGCGTCGGCTTGGGGACTGAAGGGTCCCGGGTTCGATTCCGGTCAAGGGCATGTACCTTGGTTGCGGGCATATCCCCAGTAGGGGGTGTGCAAGAGGCAGCTGATCGATGACTCTCTCATCGATGTTTCTTTTTTTCTTTTTTTCTTTTTTAATATATTTTATTGATTTTGTACAGAGAGGAAGGGAAAGAGACAGAGAGCAAGAAACATCGATGAGAGAGTCATCGATCAGCTGCCTCTTGCACACCCCTTACTGGGGATATGCCCGCAGCCAAGGTACATGCCCTTGACCGGAATCGAACCTGGGTCCCCTCAGTCCCCAAGCCAACGCTCTATCCATTGAGCCAAACCGGTCTCGGCTCTCATCGATGTTTCTAACTCTCTATCTCTCAACATTCCTCTCTGTACAAAATAAATAAAATATATTAAAAAAAAAAAGAAAAAAAAAGAATAAGATCTTAAAAAAAGAAAATAAAGAATGAGATCTTGCCCTGACCAGTGTGGCTCAGTTGGTTGGAGCGCCAGAAGGACATGGGTTCGATTCCCAATCAGGGCACATACGGTTACCTAGCTTCTAGGTTCAATCCCAAGCTAGGGTGCACACAGGAGACAACTGATTGATGTATCTCTCTCATCTCTTTCTCTCTCTTTGATGTTTCTCTTTCATCTTTCTCTCTCTTCCCTTCCTCTCTTTTTAAAAATCAATAAAAAAATAAAAGCACAATGAGATCTTGCAATTTACAACAATATGGATGGACCCAGAGGGTATTTACACGAAGTAAAATAAGTCAGACAGATGTAGAAATATCATGTGATTGCACTTATATGTGGAATTTAAGAAAACAAAACAAATGAACAAATAAAACAAAACAGAAACAGACTCATAGATACAGATAACAGGATACAAACCTTCAGTTATTAAAAATAAAGAAATAAAAAAAGTCATAGGTGCTGGCCAGTTTGGCTCAGTGGATAGAGCATTAGTGGCCTGCAGACTAAAGGATCCTGGGGTTCAACTCCAGCCAAGGGCACGTGCTGGGTTGTGGGCTCGATTCCCAATAGGGGGTGTGCAGGAGGCAGCAATCAATGATCCTCTCTCATCATTGATGTTTCTATCTCTCCCTCTCTCTTCCCTCTCTGAAATCAATAAAAATACATTTTTTAAAAAAGTCATAGGAATGTAATGTACAGCATGGGGAAAATAGTCAATATTACTGTAATAACTATCAATGAGACCAGTTACTAGATTTATTGTGGTGATTATATTATAAGGGATATAAATGTTGAATCGCCATGTTATATACCTGAAATTAGCAAAATATGTCAACTATAATATAAATAATAATAAAAATAAAAGGTAGCATAGAAAGTCAACTTGGGTGATAAAAGGAAAGGAAATTGAGGGAAATTATCAATGATCATAATTGCCTCTTTGAACTGCTGATTTGGTCAAAACCAAAATACTACTTTTTCTTATAACAATGAAACCAAAGAATTGTCTGGCCCTTACATTTTAAGGTTAATTTAATAATTAAGTTAATCGATAGTCCAGTGTTTCAGATGCATTTCGGTCACTAAATACACATGGAAGTACAGGCATAATGTTTTCCTGCAAAACAGTTTCTGCAGAACTCCTTCTGGTGAGCTCACTGTCTCGGGAGGAGTGCTGGGCCTTGGGCACAAGCTCCAGCTTCCAGAACCTGCTCCCGGTACCCAAGGCCGCCCTCACCAAGCTGTGCATTTACACTTAGGCTCACTTCTTACCCTCTTCCGGGACTCCTCAATGGCCGACAGCAGGGCATTGTCCTTCTCATTCTTTAGGAAGCCCTAGGAAAGGGAAAGAAATGACACAACTTAGGTTCAAATTAACCTTCCAAACACCAAGAGTACACTGTAAGGGAGAAAAAGTACCATTATGGATATCGTCCATCATGCTCACCTTAACCCTCAAAAGATTCTCTCAACTCAAAAAATATCCAAGCAGATTTTTTTAGTAGACATTTCCTAGTTTCTTTCATTCTGGGAGCACATGATGGTTGTCAGAAGGTAAAGTCCCCAAGATACAGTAGTGTAAAGTCTCATGCCCTTTAAACAGTCAGGAGCGTCCTTCAAGTCTTAAATGGCTCATGTTATACCCTGCTTCCTTGAAAATAAGATAGTGTCTTATATTAATTTGTCTCCCAAAGTTGCGCTAGGTCTTATTTTCAGGGGATGTCTTATCTTTCCATGCGCTAGGTCTTATTTTCGGGGAAACAAGGTAGATATAGACATAGTTTTGGCTCCGCAGCCAGCCACAGTGCCTCTAATGTTCCTTATCTAGATATCTAGATATCTATCTACCTACCTACCTACCTACCTACCTTTCTTTCTAATGAAAAGGCCATTTATTTCATGCCTAGAACATTTATTTATTATTTATGTTTATTTCTCTGTTGCTTTCAATTAATTCTTCCATTTCTTCCTAACATTGAGGAAGCCTCACTATCTACTTGCCTGGATGTTTTCACTTGTTTGTCAATGGCTGGGATACCTGAAAATTCATTTCTTCACCATTGCTCTGGGGTTTTGCCACATGCGCTCCCTATTTCAAGCCTGATGACATCCGCTACTTGTTTAATACAGGTGGCGTGAGGAGGAGACAGCCCTGTTTGGTTTAATATGGGCACGGTCACTTGCTTACATTGCGATTTTATCAATAAACCAGAGCACATACACTAGGACCCCGTTTGTCCATGCAGAAGTGGGCAGCTTGTGGCCATGCTTCTGGCCTTCGCAGGGGAGCCAGACAAAAGCGATGGGAAGGATTTTAATGAAGAATAAAGAAGGACTTTGTTTATATCCTTCACAACACATGACTACATCAAGTCAACAAACTCTTCATATGAATTTCCTTTCCTGAGGGGTCTTCAGCTTTAGTGTCACGGTTGCTAAACAAAGCTATGGAACCACTGTCACTGAATGCTGATCCTGGACAAAGAGCAGATGCAGACTGTGCTTTGATGCACCTTATCATGGCGGCTGCTGCTATGGGAAGCACCTATCACATCGGGGGAGGGTGCCAGGAGGGTGAAAACCACTACCTGATTAGGTCTGGTCTTATTTTATTCTTTTTGGTTGGGGTGGTAGGGTCTATGCCAACTGCCCACCGCCTCACTGGGCTTCCTCTGCTCTTCCCAATCAACTACCAGCCTATCCCATTCTTTTGACTGAACCCATGTCTACATATAACCCACATACACATACACACCATTAAAACACAAATGCAAAGCAATAGGCACATCTGTCTTAAAGCAACATACTGTAAGAAAATTCTAAAAGTTTTTTTAAGAAATTATATTTTAAGTCATAGTTAAGAAAGAAAAAGGAGAAGAAAAGATATTGCTCTGGGCAGATTATTTTCTTCCTTAAAATATTCATTACCATTATGTACCTCAACAATTAGGCTTTCTCTACAGTACAAACAGCCCACAAGAGAGAGAGAATTTGAATTTTTCATCCTTTATTCCTTTCTAAAATGAATACTAACATAGCTACAACTCACATTTTATTAAAGAAAAAACAAAAACATTTTTGGTGGCTATCTTTTGAAAAGAACCTTAAAATTTATAGTCAAATACCGCTGGATCTGTGCACCATCTAGTGGCCATCTGTTTCTTTACAAGGACAAGAAAAATAAATTGAATTAAAAAGTTGGGCAGAAAAATACCTGCCTCAGCCCATGCTTCCCACGGGTCTCTTCCTCAACTTCCCTTTTCCACCTGTTTCCTTTCCTTCCAACTGTCCTGTGAGAACCTCTCATCCCAGATAGACACTTTCACAACTTATCATAAATGAGTTTTCTGGAGAGATGAGCTAGTCAGGAAGGGAGGTGCCTTCTCTCTCTGGGTGGGGATCCCGGCCCCAGTGAAGACCCCGGTCACAGAGAAGGCCCATCCTTCCGTGCGGAGATGCCAGTGGTCTGCCTGTGGCCCTCAGAGCTCCTCATCACTAACGTCCCCGCTTCTTGCCAACAAGCACGTTTTAACTGCTCACAGGCTCCCACCCACGCCTTCTACTGTAGACCTACTCAATGAGGAACAGTCCACGTCCAGCTGCAGGCCTGCAATTTAAGTACATGTAATGCTTGTATTATTTATTTATTCCTTTCGTCCTCCTACTTCACATAGTAAAGTTTTTGGCATTTCTTTACAACGGTACTGTTCAAAAAGTGGGTCAGGACCCAGAATTGGATCACGAAATCAATCAGCAATTTTTTAAACGGAATAGAATACTACAGAGATATTTGGTACAGGTAAATACTGTGTTGTGGAACTTTTCTTTCAATTACATGTACTTATGTGTATGTATGAAGTGGGTTATTGCATAAAATGTATTTCTTACTTTGGGTCACAGGAAAAGAGATGCAATTACTGCTCTAAATGTCAACTCTGTAGCATTTCAAAATATTAATATTTATTGCCATGGAACAATAAACACCATACATCTGCCCAAGCAATACCCTCAGTTACGTTTCCATCTGTAACAGAGGACTGGACTGCATTGGAAGGTATACGGCTGAGAACAACCCAGAATGTAACCACAAGGTAAGTTGATTTGCCTATCAAATGTGTGCCTATCAATAAACCAGAGCACATACACAGGGACCTGGCCGCCAAATTGGCAAAACATAGTTCAAGTTGAGAAAGATGGGCATGAAAATGCACCGTTTTCATCGTCTTGCCGACTTTGGGTTCCAGAAGACAAGTGGCAGCTAATGCCTACTGCAGAAAAAGAGAATGAGCAAAAGAATGTTTGTTTTTGTCAAATGGCCAAATTCTCTTTTGCTTTCCAAAAGCGAGAACTGTAAAGTATATGGGTCTCTGTGAGAAAAACTTCAGGATATACTTCAGTGAGGAAAGTAACGCAGCAATAAAACCGACACAGATTCGTTCACATGTCTGTTTCCCGCCTACTACAAATAAGTGATTTGTTAGTTACATAGATGGTTTGAATGGAAGAACACACATTTCCTGATCAGTATTACAAAATAAAATGGAAAAAGATAAAGTGAGTCTAAAAAATAAATAAATAAAAAATAATGAGTCTAAGATGGCCCCACAAGGCAAAAGTCACAGTTTACATGGCTCTCAAAAAAACCAAAAGGCCATTCCATGCCTCTTCCTCTTCAAGAGACCAAATGGCAATCCACTCTGTCAAAACTGAAAGTGAGGCGCCCACAGCAGGCCAGCCTTTGAGCCAGAAGGAATCTGACATAAGATAAAAGCACATGGTGGGAGCAATAAAAGTCTCGTATCCTCTCTCACCTCTCTCATTTAACACATACATTATACACAAAATAAGACACCCGTAACCAACATTCCAAATCAAATAATATTAACAACTGAAAGCAGTAGCAGCAGAAAATGGTCATTGTGGTTCAAAATAACCTTGCCGAGATACCAGCAATAGCTAGGACAGCAATGAGATGGAGTGAAAAATAAGCAAAGAAAAAAACAACAAAAAACTTTTAAAAAACAAACAGAATAATGAAGAGGGTCTGCTCCCAGATGAAACAAGAACCCCAATGTGCACTGTAAGTATTCATTAGCTCTTCAGGTGGTGAGTGGAGAAATGTCCCATTTCCCTAAAGGCAGAGTGAGCGATAGCCATCATTTTGCTTCAGCTCCTTCTCAGGAAAATGCCTACTCCCTTACCCTCTCCCAACCTCCTTCCCAATTTCTGAAAGAATGGCCTCTTCTGCAGCCTATTCTTGGGTGACATTTTTACGGAGGTAAAACTGTTCCTTAAGGAGAAAGTGAGGAAGGACAAAGCAAGGTACTGTTCTCAGGGGAGCTCACAGGAGCCGTGTGGTCCTGGGAGCCCGGGGCTTATCAGATGGTGTGGACTCTTGTCATTAGCTCCCTTTGTGGCGCCCGCAGAGAGCCAGAGAGCGCCTCCTGGAATTTCTCAGAGAAGAGATGTCCATTGTTGATAAAACCCAAAAGATGAAGAAAATTTAAAACCAGGGCATTTTCAGGATTTGGGAAAATTTTACATTGTTTATAGCACCTTTGGTTATTATCTTAGACCAATATTTAATATAATAAAATAAGAATACATAAGATGTCAGCTTAAAAAGCCCATGAGAGCCCTAGCCTATTTGGCTCAGTGGATAGAGCGTCCACCTGCAGCCTGGAGGGCCCCAGGTTCAATTCCCGTCAAGGGTACATGCCTGGTTTGCAGGCTCAATCCCGGGGGGGGGGGGAGGGGGAGTGTGCAGGAGGCAGCTGATCAATGAATCTCTCATCATTGATGTTTCTATCTTTCTCACCTCTCCCTTTCTCTCTGAAATATATATATATATATATATATATATATATATATATATATATATATATATATATATAAAATTTTTTTTAAAGGCCCACGAGAGAATGAATCTCTTTTTGCAAGAAATACAGACTGAATAGCAAATCAAGGCTTTATTCTACCACCCAGATATTTAGAGTAAGTCCCACCGCTTGTTTTCTGCAAAAAATATAAAAAATAATAATAAATAATATTTTAAATAATTTGTTCACAGGGGCAGAAGACAGCGCTAAGCGGGCAGAGCTGGCATCGCCAACTGTAATCCATTTTTAATGCCGCTGCAGGACTTCTCTGTGCCCTTACGCAAAAGCCTGGCTGCTGTCACGCAGCAGGTGGCAGCAGACCCTGCAGGCCCGCAGGCAGCTCCGGAGCCACAGGTGGCAGACCTTGACTCTGTAACACGATGCTGCAGGGGCACCAGGCCATCTGTCCCTGCCAAGCTGCAGGGACCCATTTGGTAATGGCTTCTGCTCCTGGGC